ATTGAAAAACAAATTGATATTACAACTGATCTGGACAACAAATAACACAACTTAAATTCAATTTTATACTAAATTATTTATTTATTTTAGATTGATATGATTTTGTTATGTGCATTATTAGATTTAACATATCTTACTGGAAATAATCGAAGCATCAACAAATATAAAAACTTATGATGTCGAATCAAAAAGTTCAATAGAAGGGTTTGTTATATCTATCCTACTTACCCACGCACCTTCAAGATGTTATTGATCTTTATATACAATCTCGTTATCAATATATTACTTTAGAAGAAAATAAATCAAATGATTTAATTACATTCGATTTATCTTCATTTAACTATGAAAGAAAAATTGAAGAATAATATTCATTTATCCAAGATCAAATTCAAAAATAAACTTTTCTTTTTCTTTAGAAATATTTTCAACTTATATCATCATTAACTAATTTATTTCAAACAAATAAACAACAACAAAAAGATAAAAATACGTCTTGTAATGAACCAAGTTTTCTTTCATCGATTTTACAATAATATGATGAACATTCAATTGAATGTAAAACGAATTTTATATTAAATGCTTCACAGATACTTACTCTAATGAATTTATATTCAAATAAAAGTATTTTAATTGATTTGGGAAAATTACAAATGAATATAGATTCAAGTGATAACAGAAATTCGTCATCTATTATACAACATCGATTTATATTTGATAGCTTTTCGATGAGTCGTTTTGTTTACAAAATGATAAAAATGAATTAATGAATAAAATAATTTTATTAGAATATTTATTATTTGTAACATTAATTAATTGTCCTTTAAATTCACATAATGATTCCAGTGGAATTAATAATTATGCATTTTGTTAATCAAATTTTTAATGAAAATGTTTTTTTTATCAAATTCCAGAAGCTGATATTACTCAACAAGAAGAAGAAGAACGAATAGAAACTAAACATACAAAATCATCAAAACGTATTTCTAAAAAATAAGATTCACAAGAAGATACAAAATGTTTATGAAAAATTCGGTTTAACTCTCAAAGACAACAAATTGATTAAGGACTTTATCATTCTCAAATAGATCTTTACAATAATTATATAACTCAAGATGAAGTGTATTTTAGCATCATCCACAGATCATATAAGTATAGTAGTTCAAGAAGGTAAGATATATATAAATAAATAAAAGGATATTATAAATGAAACAAAACACTAAATATACTTATTCACATATTCATTCACATCATCGAATAATATATATTTTTGGACACATATGGTGTATATGGATTTATTTAATAAACAAAAAGCAATAGATGCATGTGCATGATTATGATGCTTCTTTTTTTTCTTATCAAGATATTAGAACTGAATTTCTCATTTGTTTTTCTTTGTTTCTTCTAATATATTAAAGATGATGCTATGCGACGTTTTGAATCAACAGTTAATGTAAATAATACAAATGGTTACAAAGGTTTGAGTATCGGCCATGATCAATCAGATTTTAGAGGTAATGCAAGTGGTATACGATTAATTGATAGTAATCTTGATAATGAAACAACTTATTATACTGATATCACACGTGATTATATTGGTGTAGAAATATACCTGTTTCATCATCAATTGAACCATTATTTGAATAATTAAGTCAAACAGTTCTTGCTTCAGCACACATTAAACGATTTCATGTAAAATTTTTACCAAATGAACCAACAAATGGATCTCAATCATTACCACCATCAGTAGTTCAATTTCGTTTACCACATATTTATTAACCAATATTAAATACATCAAAATTAGCAATACATTCCGTAACTAATTTAAGTATTCAAAGTATTTGTAGACAATCATTTGAATATGATTAACGACATTGTGCTAATGTACAAGATGGTATACGTATTCAACGTGTACAACAAGAAGTTAGTTTATCATTTATACATCTTGTTTATCAATTTTATACATTTATTGACAATGCACTTGAATATACAGGTATTGATGAAATAACAAAATCAAATACAAATACAAATGAATAAAAAAATAATTCTACCAGTCTAACACCTGAAAATGGTATTCAAACTCTTGTTTTAAAATCTCTTGAACCGAATATTCTTCATCTTGATAATAATTATTTAGATAATTCTGAACGACAATGTTAAAAAAATTACATGAACTTGTTTCTAATTATAGAATTGTACTTAAAATAAAATCAAGTCAACCATCAATAATAACACGAAAACAACAACGAAGTGGTTCACAACCACCAAATGAACATGTACTACAACAACAAAATCCAACACGTCATATGGCAATGAATGTAACAAATAAAATACTTTTATTTTCATCATTTGGTTGGTTAATTATTGATGAAATACATTATGCAGCTTCTTTAGGTGGTTTAAAAGTTGATGGTTGTATGAAAAAAGTTCAAGGAAACGTTAGTTCATCACAAAGACTTCGAGCTTTACGATCAACAACAAATAATCAAAATACAAAAAAGTAAGACGATGATTGATATTGCACACTTCACTAAGTTTAATATTTAGTTATGATGGTTCATTAATTCTTCAAATTGGTTCAACATCACTTTCTTTAAAAGAAACTCTTTGAACGTCTACCGATAATCTTCCATCAACAAATATTCTAACAATTCATTCATCATCTTCTAATTCTATTTCACCCAGTCGACAAATATCTGTTCTTGATATCATTGCTGGTAAGTCTCAAGCATTAACATCACTTCAAACACATGGTATTCATTTAACATTAAGTGGTGTTACAAATATTGGCACAATTGCAATGGATGTGCCACTAAGACCACAAGAAGTTCATGATCTGTGAATTGTGCTGGTCGTTTTATAACATGTTATGTTCAAGAATTTCTTCCCGATGATACACAACAAACATCTTCAATACCAACAACAACTAATACAGATAATAAATTAATTAATACAAGTTTAAATGATACTATTGAAGAACCTACTACACCAATTCCATTAGAACAAACAATAACAAGAAAACGTTTAGGTACACGTCGCAGAGATACAATTAATCGTAATATTAATCCACGTCTATTAGAAACTCAACAAAATATATTTACATCATCGAAACGACCTATGTTTAGAGTTCATACAACAGCACACTGTCAAGGAACAATATTTTCTACAACACTTCTCTCAATATTAAAATTTTAATATAAAATAGGTGTTGCTAATATTGGTGGAATGAAATCACGTTTTACAGCTATTATACATAAATGAACGTGCTTTACATTTTTTAAATAATAATAATCATGATCATCAACAACCTCCAATAGTTAATTCAGATAATTATATACGAATTGATTTTCCTGAAATACGTTGGTATGGAAATTATTCTATTCAACAAGAACAAGAAAATAAAACAAAAGGTGGTTTAAATCTTCGAACAAAAATTGATGTACTTAAATTAATTATAACAGTTAATTTTCTTGCACAACTAGTTTTTGTTTCAAAAGCAACTATACATGAAATAAATGAAATTCTTGCAAAAGTTTCTAGATTTGATCAATTTCATTTTGGAACAACAAAATATCCACGTTTATCATCATCATCATCAATAGTACCTATTATGCGTATTGATTCAACAGATACAGAATATGAGAATGATGATGATGAACCAAAAAAAGATCAACAAACAACATCACCAACATTGTTTACATATAAAATAGATATATCAATGAAAGGTTTTGTAGTTATGCGACGAACACCATCAAATACGATAGTTAAATATGAAAATGGTGATAAAAAAGTACCAATATTTGTTAAATTAACAAATTATGAAGAAACAAAATTCTTTATTACCTTATATTAAACCATTAATTAATGCTCTCATGAATACGGAACTTAGTTTAGGATAATTCTTACATACAGGTAGTTTTCAAGATGCTGCTTATTTTGAAACAAAATT